TTTCTATCTAATGAAAACTCTTCTTGCATTTCCTTCACACTGGATTTTTCTTAGGAGGAAGATGAGCAACATCTAAAGCATGGAGGCCTTTCCCAGAGAACACAATCTCAGGCTACACCTACTCACCTTTGTGCAAATGAGGTTTTCCTGGGCCCTGGGCAGAGGGAATGAATGTGGGTGGGCTCTCGGATCCGAGTACTTATCATGGGGTAACGGAGAGATGCAAGCATAACCAGCTAGTTATCTATACCTTGCCCTTGTGCAGCAGCATAAAGAGAAACTAGGCGAAGCACACTCCTATTACAGGACTACAAGCAGCTTCATGTTTAGACTAGAGATGTGCAGCACTTGGAGCGGACTCCAGTAATCCTATTGTATTTGATGTTCTATCCTCTAGACAGGTCTTTCTTTGGCTAGAGAAATTACTTTATTCCAGGTCCTGAATTTCCACTGCTTATTAATAAAATTCAACTATCACTCTGCTTTGAAAATAATTTAAAAGGAAAAGACACTTACAAAACTTCTTAACCCATGTTCTATGGCTCTTCTAGGCTAATGCAGATTTCAGTTTATGTCTTCCCAGGTTTTGTTTCTTCCTTCTTTCTTATAACTCAGTCATCTACATTCACCTGGACAAGTATGGGTTCATCCGTTTATGAGGTGCTTTATGAACACACACACACACACACACACACACACACACACACAAATCTTGCATTTTGCAGCATGGTTTGATGACACTAAAGGTTTAAGAACAATGGAAGGGCTTTGCACACCAGCAAGTCATCCATCTCCCTTCTTATCTGTAATCACCAACCTCCTTTAGTCCCTGGCCTGCATCCTCGGCCCCTCTCACCGTACTCATATCACCTTATGCTGAACAGTTTAGTTTTGTAATGTGAGCTTGGCGAGACTCCAGGCATAATTTTGAATATTACAAACACTGAAAGCCTTGATTAAAACATTGGCTATTTCTGTCCATTCTTCCCTTTCAGAGGAAAATTTGGCAGAGGGTTGACATTTCAATCCTCTATTTTTTTTCTTTCATTTGTTAGTCTCTGAGTAAAAGAGAATAGTAGAAATATTTATTTTCCTTTAATTCAAAATGCATTATCCCTCTATAAGGATTAAGTGGCACTAGTCAAACAGATTTTTAAAATGATATTTTTTTACCTAAATATCTAAGGACATCCTCAGAATTTAAATATTTGCTTTCCAAAATTCTGAGGAAAGTGTTTTGTTCAATGTGTAAAATTTTACTGAAGTGAAATTTATTTTTAAATGTTTGTCAAAATGAAACAGTGAATAATAAAGAATCATAGAACTCAGAAAAGTCAGGTGGTATTAGTAATTCTTACTTTGATAATGTATTTCTTTTGTTTATAAAAACATGCATGTGTAAGAGTTCAGAAGGTTTTTACTATTTATATATGTTTACTTACATAGTTTGCCATTAAAATTACCAATGTGTGTCATCAGGCTTCCTTGGCGTATTTACAATATCAAAGTAAGCTATCACTGGCAGCCATTTTTTCCTCCTTTGTACCAGCTGGTTTTCCTCCCTAGACCACTCACTTACCATGTCAACTACGCTTCCTTCTACATTTCCTCCATCCACATTTCCATTAATAATTATAATTATTTTTGAAACAAGAACTCTGTATATAGTGAAGGTTGGGCTTATGTTCTTCATCCTCCTTCCCTGGCCTTCCAAGTATTGGGATTATGAGAATGCAACACCAAGCTAATTAATTATCTGTTTGGCAGATATTTGGCAGGAATAAAATTTCTTTCAATTTTAAGTATTTCTCTCACTTTTCTTTGTAGAGAGCTACATGTTCTTTTTGTAATACCTGCTACACTTTAAAATTGTTTGTTACATTTTGCATACTTGTATCTTTCTTGTCTCTTCCTCTCTAGATGCTGAGCTTCATGAAGCAGGGTCTATGCTGCCCTGGTCCTAACACTTGTCTGTGGAAATGTTTGTGGAATAAATGAACTCCCAAGAGAAAAGAACCTGGGAACATGGTGTAGTTGTGATAAGTTCTTGCTGTGTTTAAAGACGACGCTTCGCTTCCATGATTGTCCTGTTCTTAAGAAACAAATTTTATTTGTCAAGAGAGGTCTGATGTCAATGTTTAAGCACAAGCTGCAAGATTGTGTTTAAATGATGCATGGGCCCAATGCTGAAAACTCCCATTTGAGCTATTCCTTCATCCTAGACATGTCCTAAACAGGAAGCTCCTTACAGCTCTAATTCATGACCATCAACAGTCATGCCCATCAACCTCTGTTGGGAGCCAATCCATTGAAAATTTTTTTAGCAACACATATTAAAAATATCCTATTGCAAATCATGAAATTTGCAGGCAAATGGTGGAATCTAGAAAAGATAATCGTGATTGAGGGATCCCAGAAGCAGAAAGACACACAGGGTATATACTCACTTAAAAGTGGATATTAAACATATAATATAGGATAAGCCTACACAACTCTGCACACCTAAATAAACCAAGCAAGGAGGAGAACCCTGGGTAAGACAGTTAATCCTCACTCAGAAAGACAAACAGGGTGGACACTGGAAGAAGGAGAAAACAGGGAACAGGACAGGAGGCTACCACAGAGGGCTCTGGAAGACTCTACCCAGCAAGGTATCAAAGCAGATGCTGAGACTCATAACCAAACTTAGGGCAGAGTACAGGGAATCTTATGAAAGAAGGGAGAGATAGAAAGAACTGGAGAGGACAGGAGCTCCACAAAGAGAGCAACAGTACCAAAATATCTGGGCACGGGTTTTTTTTATGAGACTGTATCTCCAATCAAAGACCATTTATGGATATAACCTAGAACCCCTGCTCAGATGTAACCCATGGCAGCTCAGCCTCCAAGTGGGTTCCCTAGTAAGAAAAACAGGAACTGTCTCTGACATGAATTCAGTGGCTGGCTGAGGGGGGAGCAGCCTTGCCAGGCCACAGAGGAAGACAATGCAGCCAGTCCTGATGAGACCTGATAACCTAGGGTCATATGGAAGAGGAAGAGGACCTCTCCTATCAATGGACTTGGAGAGGGGCATGGGAGGAGATGAGGGAGGGAGGGGTCTACGGCTGGGATACAAAGTGAGTAAACTGTAATAATATAAAAAATAAATTTAAAAAAGAAAAAAATATATCCTGTTGCTTTATGGGATGCTAAATGGAGCACTGCTATCTTATTTTAAATAGAGTTGTCTTTAAAAACAATCATTATGTATGGAGCATTAAGTGAGATGCTATTTTAAATGGAGTTGTCTCCCCAGATTAGTGAATGTGTGGAGCTTTAAGGTAAAAGAAACTATGCTCCTATTGACTCTGTGTCAACATCAGTCTTGTTATCATTTTAATCAGAACTTCAAATTTGTAATCTGACAGTGCTACGAACATTATTTAAAATGAGGGGACGAGTATATATACACTTAGAGAAAGTCAGGGGTGGTTTAATGCTTACGTGCTCAATGAAGTAACAACTAGATTACTCTCTTTTAGAGTGCATTGATTTTCTGTCTTTAGGGAATTCTAATTACTGTCTAGATAAAACACAAGTAGACCTGCCTCTGCTGAATGTTCAAATCTTCACCTTCAAACACCACCTTCTTAAAACAATGTCTTCATCTTAGCTCTGAGGAATGTAAATAACACACATTAAGCATGTGCAAATGAACAAGTTACCTCCACAAACTAACCTAATTTTGAAGTTGGGGTAAGGCACCTCACATTTAGAAAGCAGCTTGTATTAACCATATAAATGGAAAGGACCCAACGTACAATTTTTATTCTATATCTGCTAAAGGTAATTTTAATATTCCCTTTCAGTGTCATGAAAGAAAACCTTGTGTCCAGCTTCTGATTTTGAATATGTCTCTTACAGTTCCTTTCCTTCCATCCTGTTCACTCTATTGCTGGAAAATTCACATACTGGAACAGACTCCATGCAATTTCTGTCTTCTTAATTCCTGCTCTTTACCCCATGACCTGATTTCAGCTTTTGAAACTGTCTGTCTTTATTCACTTTCTTATCCTACATTGCTCTCCAGTCCATTAGTCCTGTGTGCATTTATGTGTTGTCTAAATCCTATACCACAGTCATTTGTGACAAATAAAGACATTAAGAATGCCCTATTTTTAATTACTTCTTTTGTTTTTGAGATTATAATAGAATTACATCATTTTCCTCTTCCCTTTCCTTCTTTCAAATTCTTTCATTTGCCTCTTATTGCCCTTTCAAATTCATGGCCTCTTTTTTTGTTGTTAATGCTGTTATGTACATGTATGTCTATGTAGAGATACATATTTCTAAACATAATCCGCTCTAAGCCCTTCTGTCTGTCTATATATAACTATCACTCAGGACTTCGGTACACTCCTTACAAACAGCAGCAGAACTCTGCCCTTCTGGTGCTTGTTTCCTTTGTTAATCCATTACACCACAACTCCACTGTTGCTCAATTTGTCACAACATTACCATTTTTCCACTTCCATTAAAATTTTGACATTTGTACCCTGTGTGTGCAAATTATGCCTTTTGACCTGTGAACTGCATCTCTCTCTTTTTCCTCTATAACTTTAATCAAGAAAGCATGCGATCACTCCACAAGTGACTCAACATAACTCCCTTCTCATGTAGCTATGAGATGGACAGACCAAAGACATGCTGAGTAGGCCCTGCTTCTCAAACTCACATTTACAATTAGCCTATATAAAACTATCCTTTCTTACATACCATTTATTTATCCTCACAATTATTTAAAAATGTTACTTTAGCCATTTTTTTTCCTGATGAGTCTGTTAGATTGTTAGATTGTTTGCCAATCAGATATTAGCTTTTATTTGATGAGTTTAATACATTTTATTAATTATATATCCATTAAATTATAACTTATTTCTCCTCTTTTCTTTTATAATTTTTAAAAGAAAGGTGATTTTATTAAAAAGAAAAAGAAGAAAAGGACCCTGGGGTCCTTGGGGTTAGTCCATCCGGGCTTTCAGGGTCCTGGTGGTGACCTTGTCTTTTTCAAAGATGTGGACAATGACGGCCATGCCTGATACCGTGTCCCAGTCCACAGCACTCAGAATAGCCTGGGAAGTGGCTTCAAACAGGTGTTCTGGATCCATGTTCGTCTCCTGGAAAGACTCACACATCCCATACATTTATTCAGAGCGGGTACCACTGACTAAAAGTCATCAGTCACCATGGGGTAGCCAGTGAGGTTCGTGCTCATGAGGGCGTAAGGCTTGATCTGCCTACCTTCCTTCAGCTTGTAGAAGTTCAGCCAGAACTTGAGGAGCTGGGCATCTGTCTGGAGGTTGGTGACCAGCCCTACCAAGCCTATGTAGAGCCTGTCATCCATGGGGAAGATCTGCTGGAAGTCTGTGTTCACCATGTGGGCCTGGATCCAGAAATGCCTGTGTGCAGCGATGGCCACACAGTTCTTTCCCTTCATGGTCATGACAGCTCCTCCATTATAGGACATGAAAGACGTTATTGTGCTGTAGTAGGGCGCTGATTGCCACTGGGGTGCCTGCAAACCCGCTCTGGCTTTCTCTCCTTTTCTTTGTATTTTTATATAGTACTTCCTTCATTGACTTACTGGTTTCTGCTTCCTTCAGATACTGTCTGTGGTGGTTTCAATAAGAATGGCCCCACAGCCTCAGATATTAGAGTATGTGGTTCCCAAGTTGGTGGTACTGTTTGGAGGGATGAAGAAGTAGGGTCTTATTGGAGGAGGTTTGTCACGGGGGTGGCTTTGAGGCTCCAGAAGACTCCTGCAATTCCCAGTGCTCTCCCTGTTTCAGCCTTGCGGTTGTAGATGAAGCCGTGAGGTCTCATGTGTTCCTTCATGTTCACGATCATGGACTTCTGACTCTCTGAAACCATTCACCAAACTAATGCTTTCTTTTACAACTTGGCTTGGTCACGGTGTTTTATCACAGCAATAGAAAGGGAACTAAGACACTAACTTTTCCAAAAGATCAAGTGTTTTATTTAATGTTTCTTGACCGTTTAATTCTGTTTTTTTTTTCCTTTTTGTCTTAATTTTTTTTTTAGGTAACAGCAAATTTCTCTCCTCCAGTTAACTATTAAAAAAAAAAAAGTTGATCCATCTCTTATAGAGTTTTCTAAATATATTGCTTATGTGAGTAACAACCTCCAAAGCCAAGGCTGGTTCTTAAATAACACATTTTTATGTTATCATATGTCTGAGAGTACTTCAATAATGTTCCTGTAACTGAATGACCCTCATCAGATTCAATAAATGTTCCAATTGTAAAGTGGTATCCTTTATTACTGTTTAATAATTGACTTTATTATCAGCATGCACAGTGCTTTGTTACAAGGCCTGCTTGGTGCCTTGTAAGCATTCTTTGTTTTTGTTAGATTTTAAAGATTAATTCTCTTTGATTTCCTTAAAATCATGGTTAATTTGTCTAGGTGTGAGTTTTTCCATATTCCCACTAATTCATGTACTCAAGAACCTTTTACTCTAAAGTCTTTCTTATTGGCTTTATGAGCTACAAGTGACAAAATCTGTATCTACTCAATGTGTAAGAATGGTGTTTTGATGTGCATACACACTGAATTTCTTACCACTCTTCATGAGTCATGTGATTACCTGTTGCCTGCCATTTATATGTATGCTGAGAATCCTTAAGAACTACCCTCATAGACAATTTCTAATACACACTACAGCACTATTATCATAGTCATCATGAGTATGAACCTGATGTTTAAATGCTTTGAAACTTTTGAACCCCATTTCCGGCATCGCTTTGTAAGCTTTGACAAACATTTCCTATTTTTTCATTCCCTGCCTCCCTGGTAACTACACTTAGAGTTTCTGATTATATGAACTTCGCCTTTTTGATTCCAGGTGTAAGTAAGAAAGGTGATGCATGCACTGTCTCTATGCCTTATTTGTTTTCTATGTATTTCTGGATTGTCTATGTTGCTATATTTCTTTTAAATATTTAACAATTCAGAACTTGTAGGATATCAACTTGTATGTTAAACTTTACAGCACCGCCCATGGACCATGCACGGATTGGACCTAGGCCCTGTACAGATGTAGCCAACGGGTAGCTTAAGCTTAGCATGGGTCCTCTAGCAAGGGGAGTTGGGATTGACTCTGACATGGTTTCTGTTGTGTGCTTTTTGATCACTTCCGTCTGGTGGGACTGTCTTATCAGACCACAGGGGAAAAGGATGCGCTCAGTCCTGATGAGACTTAATGAGCTGGGATGGGTTGGTGAGGGAGAGCACCCCTTTTCTGGGGAGTAGAGAGAAAGGGAGAGGGGAAGAGGAAGGGAGAATTGGACCTGGAGGAGAGAAGGGAGGGGGCTATGGTTGAGATGTAAAATGAATAAATAAATAAATTAATTAAAAAACTTTATAACATAATATCAAATATTTTCTAATGTGTTTTGTGTTACAGTTTATTGGGCCATTGATATATAATATATTATATAAATATCATGTTTATAATTATATTATGGGCAATATCATAATATATAATATATAGACATGTACTTTATATATAAATACACACACACACATATATATACATACATATATGCAAACATACATACATACATACATACATACATATTTCCAGGTTTCCACTTCTACAAGATCTTGTGAAAATAACATATGAGGATCTTTATGTGCATTCTTTTAACTATTAATTTTTGAAATATGTCTTTATTTTTGGTCATATATTTCTCTGAACTGCTTTTGCTCATTTATGTTTTTGTTTATTATTTAAAATACTCTTCAATATGCTCATGTAAATTGACATTTGAATGTTCCCAGAGTGCAGGGCTATGGTGACACACACCTGTAATCTCATTGCTCTAGGACAGAGAGGCAGGAGGACAGTGAGTAGGAGTTACTATATTCTACATTGAGATTCTGTCTCAGAAAGTCAGTAGCTCAATCTATCAACTCTCCTAATTTTTATGGGATAAAATTTGTTATTTTCTGTTATGTCTGGCACTATTGTGTATGTTTAAGAAATACAAGGTGAGAAATGTACTAATAGAAGTTTTATTCTGGAAGTTTTAAATTTCTGCATTTGAAAATGTGAAACATTCTCGAGTTCTCGGCTTTAATGTTGGTTTGAGGTACTTCTCTGTGTATGGCCATTAGTTGAATCCTATCTGTAAGGTCTTCCACAGTGGAGGACCCTGGCTGTCAAGTTGGGGACCTGTTTATCTGCTTCTGTTCTTGTAAGTCTATCCTGAACAACAGCATCTACTCTTAACAGTGGGTACTTCTCAGCAACTCGTCTTATATTGTAAGACGAGACTTATCTCCTTTATTTTCTGCTTGTTTAATTATTAGCAAATGTTGGCACTTTGGCATAAATGTAAAATTGAAAGCAATTTATCAAATTTCAAATTTAACTCTGTTGGAATTGGAATTTAGATAAATATCTTGTCACTTTGACAGATAAAGAGGCAAGTAGTATCTTAAGAAAATATCTTCTTGTCTATAAATGAGAGCTAGGTCTTTAGGTACTGATAGATACATCAGTGAAAATTTCAAACTAGCCTAAGTGGTAAAGGGTTCTGAATACAGAGTCAGAGTGTAAATGTCACTTTTATTTCCTCAGATTGTTGAGATGACAGCTGTACCCAAGCTGTGTGAACACATGACTTGGACTGAGCCCCGAACATTTCTTTCTGTGTTCTAACAATCTCCAAACCTAATCCTGGAGTCTCCTAGCTTCCATACAGCCTAATCTTCTGCAAAACCACACCTCAAAGGCTTCAGCTTCTAGCCTCTATCTGCTAACCTAGGCCTAGAATGTTTTAGTCTCTGAGACTCACTATTGAATAAACTCATCCTTTTAAGCTCTTTTTGAACTCTCACTGGTTGGTTCAACTTAGCTATTCTGGCCCAAACTCATCTCCATACTTATTGATTCATTAGGCCTTCTTTCTCAGCTTCTGAATGAATTTCTCTGTTTGGCCTCAAACTAAACCGGCAATATATTCTAAACTCCAGGCTCCTTCACATTTTATGGCTTGTTCTGCATTCACCTGTGTCTAGTGTGTTCTATCTCAACTTGTCTCTGTAAAACTGTCCTGATAAAAGCCGCTTTTTATCTCGGTAAAAATCTCTCTTCCTCTTTCTCCCTCAGTTGCTCTTAAGTCACTCCTCTTTTCTGTGCAGTTTAGTTGCAAGATAAGTATATCCTGTCTGACTCATTCTGTCAAATCTTTCTGTCTTGTCATTTTGTCTGCCCCTCAATTAGACATTACTTTCAAACATTGCTGCTTCCCTCTTTATATTAACCTTACCTTCATTGTTTGGGCTTAAAGCTGTGTTCCAAGGGCATGTCTGCATTCCAGACATATTGTACTATCATACTGTAACCCAGAGTGTTTCTGCATTCCAGTGAGATCACACAGACCTACAATGACTTTGGGTGTGATCCCTTGCCAGAGCAGCCATGTTGCTTAATAAAAATTCCTCTGCATCAGCTGGAAAATACACTGATCTTTGTGATCAAATTGTAAATGAGCAGAATATAAACTAAAACTGTCTGGGGAGTTCCAAGGTTTGATGTACTGAAGAAAAACACTTCATCATTGATGTGTGCCCAAGGGTCCTACACAGTTTACTTTCAAGGAGTCTTTTTCAGAAGCACAAATGCATTTGGAAAAACCAACTTTCGTGTATCATTGTAATGTAGCACTGTTGCGGCGGGGGTAATAAAGTAGCTTACTGTGTATACAGTGTCTGTAATCCACAGAACCCACACACAGCTATTTTTGATGTAGAAATATAGAAGCCCAGTCCCAGGAGCAGCCACAGATGCAGTGTTTGTCTCAATGGAGGCTCCCTGCTACTTTACATCCTCTAGGCAGTCACTGAGGAATAGTGATTCCTGTAACCTTCTGTACAGAACACTTGCCAGAATTAAGAAACAGCAAAAAATGGTGAAATTGACATTATCCTTCTGTTCATCTCCTCATTTTGAAGAACTGAACAGTCTATAAAATGTCAGCAAAAAGGAAATGGGTGGAGCTTTGGATTGGAAAGCCACTTGGTTAATGGCGTGATTTGAAATATTAAAGTAATATTAAAGTTCTAATTGAACTCCCCCCAAAACCCAATTCCTTTATGCTTTAGATTCCATAATTTCTTTAAATGTGTGGAGGATGTTTTATACAATCAAATTTTTCATTTATTCAGAGATAATTAAAAGTTTACCATGTAATTTGTATTTGTAGTAAAAGTTACTTCGATTAAAAAATACACACGTCAGTATTCCTTCTACAAATTACCCAGCCTCCAAGGCCCAACTACATGTAATATTAAATTTCTCTTACTATGAATACACAATGTAATTTGTGATTTGCCTGAAAACTACTCTACAGCTCACTTTTCACTAGCCACTGCTGTAATGTTTGGATTGTTCATTGTTCATTGTTAAGAATAGGTAAAAGTCAATAGATGAAATGCAAT